CCAGTTGATACAGACAAAACCATTCATCTCACAAACAGTCACTCCAATGGCATTGAAACTACCAGAAATGAGTTTCCCAATCTTTAACGGTGCATCAGAATCATAGGTTTCGTTTTTCGATATATTTTCATCAGTAATCGATTAAAACGAAGCTCTTACACCAGTCCAGAAGCTCCAATATTTGCGATCTACACTGCGGGGAAGAGCAGCTAGCTGCATTGAAGCACTCCCGACAACGGACGCAAACTATGCGAAGCGATAGAGCTTCTCAAGGGCAAATTCGATAACGCGAGAAAAAATATAATGCAGCACTGCAGTGCCATGGAAACGTCGAAACTGATGCGAGACTCTCCAGTAAATCTAGGAAACCTCGTGGACAATATCATCAAACAACATCTGAGGGCCTTGGTAAACGCATTGCAACGTGGAATTCATTGTTAGTCACCACCGTTCTATCAAAGGTCACGTCTGATACAGTCTGGCAGTGGCAGCTCACCCTCAAGGACAAGGAAATGCCCACCTATACAGAGCTCCTGGAATTTCTGGAGAAGCGGGCTAACTGCTGCGTGATAAAACAGAAGATTCCCATAAAACAATCTGGATCCGACAGAACACGGCCTCCGCGACAAAGTACATTCGTGACCAAAACCGCAGTGCCCGGTCTGCGAAGACACACACGGAGTCTGGGCATGTCAAAGGTTCAGAGACAAGGGGGTCTCTAATCGCATCACCATCGTCAAAGACGCATTAATTTGCAGTAACTGCTTGCGCGATAGTCACACAATCGAGCAGTGTCAATCAGGGTAGGGCCGAGTTTGCCACCGACGACATCACACGCTGCTACACATGCCCGGAGAAGCAACAGTAACCAGTAAGTCAAAACTTAACCAATCCAAAAATGAGAGCGCTGCAAATTGAGCAAAGGCGCCGATGGGGAAGTAGAGGAAGGTATTCATTGCCAACGCTATCACATCCGAACTGTGGCCGCAAGAATCAATGTGTTAAACAAACACTCCCAAGCGGTCAGTTGTCGGACCATGATAGACACATGTGCAACGACAAATTTCATTTTCGAGAGCTTCGCGAAGCAGCTCGGAATCCAGCAACGAAGATGTCACATCCTCATTGGCGACCTCAATACAATCTCCACAAGCGCAAGAGCCACCCTCAAAGCAACAGTCAAATCTCGCAATAGCAATTACTCACGGACACTTACATTTTTTAAAGTTCCCAACATTTCCTCCGTCATACCCAAACAGCTGATTAACCGAAAATTAAAATACCAAAGAACATCAAGCTAGCCAATCCAATTTTTCATTGACCTGCTCCAATCGAGATGCTCCTAGGTGCCGGCGCAACCCTCTCCGTACTTTGCATTGGACAGATTAATCTGTCTGCTTCGGACGGTCCAAACCTCTATTTACAAAAAACCAGGTTCGGATGGGTCATTGGGGGGAGTGCACCGAACACCAGTGCGACTCACGAAAGCAAATATCACTCCACAACCGCCCTGCAAGCTGACCTTACTCGCTTCTGGGAAATCGAG